AAACACATTAATTATGATTTTATTTTCTAAATAAAAAAAGAAGGAAGAAGATCATGAGTAGAAAAAATAATTAAAAGGAATGGTCAAATGCTAGAAACTATGGATAATAAAAGAATTGCTGAAAAATAAGAGACCCAGAAACTTACTATTGAAAATGAAATAAAAGAATTAGCAGAAATTAAGCAAAACAAAATATCTTTTCTTTAATTAATTCTAAGTACTTTATTTACTATTGGAATAATCTTAATAGTTTATATGCTAATACTAAGAAAGAGAAATTAAAATGTCATCCTAATTGCACTTGATATCAGATGTTCACTTTGTCTGGTTTTGTTGCAGCACATCCTATATAATGGTGAGCATTAAAGCAAGATAAGCTATTTAGCTGATTTAGTCACAATATGTCATATTTGATCAGCAGCACATGATTTAAAAAAAAATGCCATTATTCACATAATGATAATAAAAAAAATCATTCTTGTAAGTAAAAAAAATTCTTGCTAAATGAAATTTGCCTTTCTCCATAATATCATTTCTTTCTGTTCTTCCCTCTAACATTATTTTCATTTTTTTATACTCTTTAGAATAATATAATTTACAAGTTTCTTGAGCATTCTCAAAAATATTAATTATATCTAATGCATTATAACCAGATATGGGCACTCTGGCCTGCCAAAATGACACTTTCTAACTTAATTTATAATTTTTATGTTTTCTAATCAGAATTATATAGTTATTCTTCAGCTCTTGTTACTTCATGTTGAACTTCTGTAAGCATTTTTTTAATATTGATAAAGCATTTAAACTTCTTCTCAAAGAATTCAATAAGAAATAGATATTTATTAACAATATATGGACTAGGTTTAATGGAAATAAATTATCAAATAGAAGCAAGTGGAAAACATATGTATGCAGACTCTCAAAACTCTAATAATCGAGTAGACACAAAGTTAATATTCTCCCTAATAAACTTTGAACAACTTAGAAGTGTTCTTCAATCAAGTGTGTGACTAGAATTAAAATCACTTGATTTGTGAACAAGATCTAAATTGAAAATTATAAAGATTCTCCTGCTCACTCTCATTCAATCAAAGAAAGTAACATATAAAAATGGTTAAGATTTATTAAAGACATGATAGCTAATGAAGCTATAAAGAAGTATAAGTCCTCTGTAATTACTAACATAGTCTAAAAACAATTTTTTGAATCACATGAAAACTCTGACATAGAATATCTTAGAACTTGAGAAGTTACAAATATTAAATTGAAACTCATAGATCTAATAATCTCATATCTCATCAGAGATGTCAATCTAAATACTGATGTTCAGAATGCATATAAGTTTTTAATTCAAAAAAAAATCATATTGAATTCTTTTTTATTTAAATATTATATCAAGAGCTATATTTCACAAGTTCCATACAATTAGAGAATCTAATATATTATGGATGGTTATCATTGATCAATTCCACTTATAATATCAACAAGCATGATTGGCACTTGTTTACAATTTATGTTCAGAATGGTTGTGATTATTGGTGTATGAGTGTGTATTTTTTTACTAGTAATAAGAATAGTACCATAATTACAACAGGATTGAAAATAATCCAAAAATTTATTCCCTGATAGAGATCAAGATATATGTTACTTGATCAAAGCAGCATGGAAGCTAACAGAATTATGATCACCTTTTCTGGTCTCTGTGTAGGAGAGCAAGAATGCAATATTCTCCTATGTACTATTCATATTGTTTAAACATAGATAAAAAATATTTATCATAGACCAACTCTCAATAAAATGATTCAAGTGATACACAAAAAAACTCAGATTGGTTGTAAAGTACTTGTTCAGGACATGATAATTACATATTTTTTACAAGCCAACACCAAGTATATTTCCCAAAATTACTTGAAGAATTTGAAAAAGTGGATATTCTGGACATAACAGCATTCATCTTTTCTCCTTCAAGTAACTTTGACGAATCTTCTCAAGTCCTATCATAGCAAACTCAAAACAAGAACTTCTATTACGCATGATATCATTGGTAGATTAATTTTTTGTTTCTTTTTTTTTTGCTTTTTTTTGATTTTTCTTCTTATCATTCATTCTTTATTTTTCCTTCCCATCATTCATTCTTTATTTTCATCTCTTCTTATCATTCATTCTTTATTTTCTCCTCTTCTCATCATTTGTTCTTTATTATCATCATTCATTTTTTATTTTCCCTCTCTTCTCATCATTCATTCTTTATTTTTCTTCCCTTCTCATTATTCATTCTTTATTTTTCCCTCTTCTTATCATTTATTCTTTATTTTCATCTCTTTTCATCATTCATTCTTTATTTTTCTTTCTTCTCATCATTTATTCTTTATTTTTGCCCCTTCTCATCATTTATTCTTTATTTTCCCTCCCCTTTCTCTTATTTTTTACTTGTTCTTTTTCCTCCTTATCATTTTCCTTTTTTTTTTTATTCTTCTCTTTCATTCTTCTCTCTCTTTATTGTTTTTCTTCTTTACTTCTTTTTTATTTCTTTGATCTTTGCCCATTTCTTTCTATTTATTATTTTTTTTTATTTTGATTCATTTTTGCTTCTTTATTATTTTTAGGTACATGCCATATGATCTTGAAACTTGATGAAAAGAAGAAAATAATAGCAAAAGAAGTTACCATTAATTTTCGCACAAAAACAATATCTATTGCTAATATAAATTCAGCGGTTCTTGCTAAGATCCACAAATTCCCCTTTTCAATTCAGAAGCTCATCACAAAAGAGGCACATGCAGTCTTAAAATGATTACAAGAAGAAAAAAATACATCAAACCTCTTGGTTGCGGAGTGTGATTATAAATTCTTCAATTACTATCTCCTGCTCTGTTGCTATATTTTTCATGTGTAACTCTGTAACGATGCTGATATTTTGATACCAGAAGTGTGAAGAAGTTTCCAAGAAACTTTGGAGGAAAGTGGCTTGAAGATATACCAGTCTTGCAGTTTGATGGAAATACTCCAATCTCAATCAGAAATGGAGACAGCTGTAGAAAAAAATTGTTTAATAATGAACAAATTATTTGAAAGGGCAAGAGATCAATATTATCATTTGGCGGATCAGGGCAATATAGAAGAAGTGATGAGATTCATTAAAAATTTAGAAGAGGCTTTGATACCTGTTCTTTAGTAAGAAATATTTTATTATAATACAAAAAAACAATAATTTTAGTTCTCCCCCTTATTTTTATGCTTGTACATGCTTTTAAGAATATTTAATATACAATGAAATTCCTATGTTTATGTGAAATTTTTAAGCAAATAATAAAATTTTAAGCAATAATTACTACAGAGACTACATTCAGAGCTCATTTTAGCGATGAATTGATAATCAAATTTTACATTGTTAAATTGAAACAAGGAGTCACTAATAAGTAGTTGTGAAGAATCACTTTGAGTGATCTGTATCGTCTCTTCATTGCGTAATTACTATTGTCCAACTTCCGCCCCCTCCACACGATCATAATATCGAATTTAGCGTGCCGTGTATATAGTTAGAATACTTTTTTTAAAAAAATTACCTTTGATTTTGCAGCCGTTGTTGGTCGGGTTTTAATTTACCAATCAAATGGTAAGATCATGTGAATCATGTGCCGCTGATCAAATGTGGCGTAATGTGGCTAAACCGGCTAAACGGCTTGCCTTGCTTTTAACGAACCCCCATATAATACTCTTCGAGGTTATGTGTTTTATAACATACAAGCCACATTAAGTCATATGTTCTAATTTCAACGATAAAATTTTCCGGGCCGGAGAAAAAAGTCAAGTCATGTGTTTATAATGCACAAGCCACATGCCCGAGCTTATTTGGTGAAAACCTAGAACATCTATATTTGTTCATTATCGATATACACTTGGCTCTGGTTTAGATCCCATTATCTTTTTTGTTAATAACGCCTAACACGATTTCCGATAAAATTCAATTTTGACCCAATTTTTTTATAACCCGAATTTCTCTTGTCCAGAATATTTTCAATATTATTTAACTGGAAATAATGTCTTTTTAGATTATTTCTGGATTAATTTTATATAATAATTAATTTTTTGTTTCTAAATTGATAGCATAATCATTTCTTATATTAGATATTTTCTGAGGAATTTTCTAATTTATCGCTGATTTAATATTCTCAAAGAAATTTTATTTTATTATAAACATATTTATGTATAATTATTTACATAGATCCATTTTAGAGCTTAGTCGATCATGTGGTCAATCCCCTTAAATTTTCAGCGCACCTATTAATGGCTTTAATGATTTTTAAGGTCGGGTAAGGGTAATGGTTAATGTTAGAGTACAAGGTTATATGTAAAATTGCCATCGCGACATTGGTTTTTTTTGTAATATTCTTTTTTTCATATCTTGTGTCGGATTTGTTTTGCCGGGTTGGTCAAAAATTTGCGCATTCCTATTGGGCATAGATCACATGATAGACTACGCACCATTTTTTGATTCTATTGGTCAGTCAAGTTGATTCAGGATGTTTGACCAGATTGAGATCCAAACTAGATCTAATTCATAATTTCCAACGCACAACATATTCACAATTTAATCACATACAGCATATAAACTCGTAAGCACAACATGTACATGTTTTGCAGGTAAGTTTTGAATCTCAAAATTATTAATAATCTTACTTTATTTTTTATTTTGACATTTATAATGATTTTTACGTGTCATGTTAAATAGGTAATATAGATGAACTGTATATATATAGAAATATATAATTAATGTATGTCTTGAATAGGTAAAAAAAAGGAAATAATGCCAAAAGACAATAAAAGAGAATAACAATGAAACAAGACACCAGGCTTGATCCAAATAATAAAAATGATTAGATTGGGAATTCAGGGAAATTAACTCAAGAAAATTAAGAAAAAGAATATTGAATAACGTTAAGCTCTCATGCGCAGCCAGATAATCGATTGTATATACTAATCTTTAGCGTTTATTAACTTCAGCTTGACGTTTCTCGTTCTCTATAAAATCTTCTCAGGTAATCTTCTGCCTCTTTGTATTCTTCTTTTACGCCCTTTAGTAAAGGTTCAATTTTCCGCAATGCTAGTTCTTCTGAGATGCTTTTTGTTCCCGTCTCATCTTTTAGATTACCATAATGTTGCAGCTTCTCACATGATGCTTTTACCTTTATTAAACCAATTGCTGCTGAGCTACCCTTTAAGAAATGACCAAGTTGAGACAACTTATTGAGATCCTTTGATTTCCTATAAAATGTTCATTCAATTATATTATTATTTTTCACATGGTTATTTATATATAAGCAATTTCAATTCAATATTATATTTCTTTGAAAAATACGAGATCGAATTAAACTTGAACAAGTAAACATACAAAGCTTTATCCATCTCACCGAAAGTAGATTCTGCTTGATCAAAGTAATTCAGTATTATAGACCTTGAAAAATCATCGTCGTCATCGTCCATTTCTACTAGCTGATCAAAGACTTCATGATCAATAAGGTCTGAAGATTCTGTACTATCAAAAACAGGACTCTTGTTGGTATCAACAGTGTTTGAAAGAGTAGTAATTTCGATTTCTTCATCCTATTTATGTTAATATTTTATCAGTTTATCAGATAATTTTCAAAGAAATCACCAATATTTCGACTTAATTTTGTTAAAAATAACACATTAAATGTCAATTAACCTCGGAAGAGCATAAAGAAGGTGTAGGCGTTGGTGTGGAGGGCATTATTTTGTCGAATGGAAAAAAGATTTAAATGTGACTGCTTGTTGCAAGTCCCAATATTTTTACGCAAGGGTTGAAAATTGATGGTCTAGACATTATTTTGCTTGTTTCTAAGACAGTGAAACTACAACAGTAGGTGGATTCTATGCTCTATGACATCATTTTAGATACTATACAATTAACTAATGATAGTGCCCGCTGTCAAGTACATATCTTTCTTATATTGTCATTTTACCTATGACAAAACCTTATCGTTATGACGTAATGTCACAGGAAAATCACCAATCTAAATCTACAAGATTTTTTTTATTTACGAGATCATTTAAAATTAAAATAATTAATTTCTGACCCTGGCAGCTATTATATAGTTTAACACCTCACCTCAAATTTTAAATTCTATTTACAAATAAAAAAAATACTTAGAGTCCTTACCTGTTTAATCTAGATACGTGTAACAATCACTTGATTAATATTACGAATAGCTTGATAACTTCAAAAAAATCATGATCTTACCTAAACCCTTAATTATCTCTTTCACTGTGTCATTTTTAGATTCATTCGCTAAACCTATCAAATTAATAATGGTAACAATAATTAGAGATCGGAAACCGGATTTAATTTGCTCATTATCGGATTTAAACCTGTTTATATTAAATTAAATTCGGTTCCACCCTCTAATAAATAATAACATTCTTATTACTTTTATGAATTCGCTTACCTTCACTTTCCAATAGCGGAAAAGTAGTTTCAGAACGTTTTCTTACAAGAGATTTTTTATTTTTCTCTATCGTCATCAATAATTTAGGCACTGAAAATTACATTATTACTATCAAGATCTCATGTCACAAAAAAGCAAATAGAATTTATACGAACATACTTAGCACACGCATCTTATTTAGTTCAATAGCCAACGATCCTTTTCGATCAACCAGATTTTGTTGAATAGCATGTGTATTGTGTAATGGACTTAATTGTTCTCGTAGATGCTAATATAAATTAACGTTTATTACCACAGGCTTATGATCATTCATCTTCTGAGAATATTCTTACCTTCAAATATTCATATTTTTGTTTTGTTTCCATGATTTTATTAAGAAGATTAGATACATTGAGACGATGTTCTGAATATCTTAAAAAATGCAAGAAATATGCGATCATATTAGTATCACATAAGAGCTGAGAGATAAAATTCTAAGATTTTACCGTTCAATTATTTCCAGAGAATGATCATTTTGTGCTGGCCATTCTTCGGGTAAAGATAAGATCCATCTAAGAATATCCAATAAAATTTAATAAGATTCTTGATTTTACACTAAACTAAAAAAAAACTCACTTGAAAGAAGTTGTTTCGGTAATATCTATTTTCATTTGAGAAGCTATTTCTTCACGTTCTCGTTCTTCTTGAAGTAAAAATATTTGTTCAAGTAAATGACTAATTGCTTGTTGATTAAAAGTTTCCGAACACTGTTTACGAATACAAGTATTCACTATTTAAATGATAACGATGATAGTAAGAGATAAACATAAGAGGTAGTTAAGACAAAGAACCACTCTCTATTTTACCAGTGAGAACAACTTCGTTAATAACGTTGAATGGTATTTTTTCCTCAGTAATACTTGTTTTTGTGGAAAACCAACGAGAGGAAGGTTCAAATTCTTTAGAAAGAAGAGATACTTGAGTTTCTATAAAAGACTTTGTGTTTAGATAGTCGAAGGAATTTTGTTTTTTTAATAGAGTTTCCATGATAGATCACTGTTACAATTAGATTTAGCGTTAGATAATAACTAGAAAATTCACATTATTAGAGGATAAATAACGGGAATCAATATTCAAAGTTCCAAGTTCATTATCTTTTTTGACCTATTAAAGTCTTTGTCAACAAATTTTTAAAGCCTAACTAAATGATAGCAGAATTTATTCTCATGCGGGTCGGTAAAACTTTAAAATAAATAAAATCTAGAAAGATATTATCCTTTATTAATGTTCAATTATATCTTGGAAAAAAGTTGTTGGCCAGGTCTTTTGCATTTTTATCGCTAAAGATCCACTAATTAATAGTCATCATTGATTTGAAAAACTTGCCAAATTACAATAATGCTCCAAAACAAAACAACTATAAATATGATAATCTTATATCATGAAAAATAGAAATTTTAGTCGTTTGTTGGAAGGAAAATTTAAAATCTGAGAAATAAATTTCTTACTTTTGTTATTATACAACCATTACAATACCAAGGAATAGGACCGATAAATTATCATCTTCGGAAGAAATATTTATTGATGTTTGAGAGAGATAAATAATTTCGTTCTGGGTTACTGGATTGTGATTTATCATAATGGTGATGAAATTACGGGATTGATTAATGAACAATGATTACATGTATATGGGAAGCGAATATAATGACCAATAAGATTGCAACTCGAGCATGTGATTAATGTTATATTACAAACACATGACTTGACTTTTTGCGAAACAAATATGGTGCTGGAAATCTATACCCGACAATAAAATAGATTATCTTTGAAACCTTTCAGCAACTTTATAAAAAAATTAAAAAACTAAACCTAATATTATTCTTTGGTATATGCTCTACGGTCAGAATTTTAAAAAAAGCATTCTACAAAGAGTTATAAGCCTTAGGTAGTTTTTATATGTTTTTTCCGAGATCGTGTGAATTTTTGTCACGCGAATCTAATTTTATTGGCTAGCATTTTTTGTAATTCCATAATTTAGGCCTAAATTACGAATTAATTAAAATTTATAATATATAATTGATAAAATAAAATTAATTTTATATAAAAAAATATATATTAAATTATATATTTACTATAAATTTATTATATCTTGAATTTCTAGTATATTTGAATAATATTTAAGATTTGATCTAATAAATTAATTAATTAGAAAATTAAAGCTATAATTTATATAAGATATAAATATTAAATTTATAATTTATTTACTTATTAAAAATATATTATAATTTTATTTATTATTTTTTAATTACTAGATAAGATATAAAGTATTAAACTTATAATTTAAATATTTTATTTTATTTGATTATTAAAATAAGATATAAAGTATTGAATTATAATCTATTTATTTAAAAAATAGATTATAATTTTATCTTTTATAATTCATTTAATTATTAAAAACAAGAAGATATTAAATACTAAGTTAGTTTAAATTTTACTATTTATATTTTTTTTTCTTATATTTTTTCTAACTTTTCCTAACTTTTTAATTTTTTTTCTATCTATTAATAATAGAATTTTAAGTTATAATTTTTTATTTTCTTTTTATATATTATTATATTATTTTAACTTAAATTCTATCAAAAATATATTTTATTTTTCATTTTTATATTTTTAAAATCTTTTTTAATATAATTATTACTTTAAAATATTATTATATTAATATTAAAATTAATAAAATTAATTATATATATTTTTTTATTTTAAAAATTTAAAAAAATTTTATATAAATTTATTATAATTTTTTTTTATATATAATATTATATTACTTATATAAAAAAATTTAAATTTAATTTAGTAAAATAAATAAAGTAATAAAACTTTTCTTCTCAAATTTAGTAAATCTTAATTATTATAAATTTAATTAATAATTATAAGTATTTTAATATTTATTTAATAAAAAATAATATTACTCTTCTAAAGATTTATTATTTTGAGAAAATTTTTAATAAATATAATTAAATTTTTCTATAATCATATTTTTTTATAATCATATTTTTTTATAATTATTTTTTTAAATTTTCTAATTATTTTATTAATTAATTATAATTAAAAAAATCTCTTTGTAATTATAACTCTTTTTAGTCATCTAATTTTGCTTTCTTAATTATAATAATTATAAAAAATCTAATTATATATAATTTAAATAATAAAAAGAATTTTATATTAATTAATTATTTATTTAAAGTTTATAAATTATTAAATATATTAATAAAAATTTATCTTTTTATATAGTTCTTTAATATTAATATATAATAAAAATTTTTCTTATTTATATTCAAAAAAATGAAATAATAAATATAAAAGAAAATAAAATTAATTATTAGAATTTTGAATTTATTAAAATAATATTAAGAAATTTAATTAAAAAATTCTTATAAAATTTATAATTATAAAAAAACTTTAAAAATCTTGCTTACTTTTTATAATTATATAACTAATAAATTTTTTATTTGATTAAAAGTTTATATTTCTAATTATTTTATATTAAATAATATTATATTAGTTAATTTTAAAGAATTATCTTTAAAGAATTTTTTAGATTATCTTAATAATTTTGTAATAATTTTAATTAAGTTATCTTTCTTTAGATCTCTTTTAGCTTAGATCTTTATTTTGCGCTATCTATATAACAAATTAGTTTTATATTACATTTTTAAAAAGATCATTTTCATTCTGAATACACAGATGATTATTATACATCTAGATTTAGCATATTATTACTCAAATGATCACTATATGTATTACAATTATTAATTTAAATTATTAATATTTTTAATTACATTTATTATTAATATTTCTTTATATTTTTATTCATTCTTTTTAATTATTATTTATA